ATAATAATAATAATAATAATAATAATAATAATAATAATGCTAATATTATTTTAACGCCTTATTATTTTACAGACTTATTGACAGATAATTCTAACATTGTGCAGCCACAAAAAAAACACCAAAACAAATAATTTTTTTAAATAACATTTTAAATTGTAAAAAAATATTGTGAAGCCCTAATTTAAAGCTTTATTTCAGTTAATGAAAACGATTTATTGTTTTACAGTTTTGGTTAACAATAACAAAACTGCAAATACTAAAATGAGCATCACTAAATAATAGCTCAAAATGTGCATTATTATAATTGAGAAAAATGCAAAGATTGGTAACCCTAATCTGATACCACAGTAGAGTAAAACAGCTTGTTTTTAGGAAAACAAGGGCCACTTTTCATATCTTTATATCACACGTGTCATTTGAAATTTACATAAATCACTGGTGGCAGATGACAAATGTGACACAGTCCTAATGTACATCTGCAGATACAGTTTGTGTCAGAATGAAAAACACAATCACTCTTCGATTGAAAGAAGTGCATTTGAGAATTAAACAGACACAATCACTCTGATTTCTGACTTATGACTTCCGTGGCACTCACTGCTACTGTTTTATTAGTGTAGGAGCATCAAACGACACACAGAGGAGCGTTCTGCTGATTTACTGAAAGATCAACAGCGCAGCCAAATCTCCCAGCGCAGCTGAATTCCCCATTATGTACAGCAGACGCACAAACACGCGTTCTGTATTTCATAAAGCATCTGTCTGCTCTCCCACCAGAGAGACGTCAACGTGGCCCCGTCGACTGACACATCTCAGCATGCACACGTACAATCCCGGCACGGCCGATTCAGAGAGACAGCATGATCCCATCAGCATGCCAACAGGGCCGAGAAGCCACCAAAACAGACCCGAGCACAATGCAGCGCGGTTTGTGTGATTTGCGGTGTCAGAACATCAGAAAGCCGCAGCAGCGCTCGGGGAGAAACAGCCAATCCTATTTACTGCAGTTTCAAAGAGAAGGCAATTAACAGAGAGGCCCAACAGAGCCGCTAATTAACTCAGTCCTCCTGATATTCAACGTTCTGTTCAAACACACGAGACGCTGTAAACAAACAAACAACATCAACCGCCTTCTGCTTAGTGAACTAGTCACTAGTCCGTTAACTAGGTTCTCCAGTTAAACCCAAATGATCCACTGGGAATGTTTAACAGCTCACTGGAGTGGAAAATAACTGAGTAACGGCTTAAATTATTAAAATATAAATGAATGATATCCTTTGTGAGAAAGTAGCACACTTAAGCATACTTTTAAAAACAGTACTTATTACAGAAATTATGTATTTAAAAGAATATACTTAATTGCAGGGTAATTTTTTTTTGTTATGCTCGTTAAAAGTCTCTTCACATCCCGATAACAATCACTAAATGTATTTATATCATCTGTGGAAGGCTTAGGACCATAAAATGTTCGTCCAATCATATTCCTCGGTCCGAGGGCTACGATAATGTGTCCTACCTGCCTGTCAGTGTAAGTATTTGCATACCTCCACACACCATCAAGCATTATGTTTAAATTAAAAGCCTACTCTAGCTTTAACTGCATTATTGTTTAAGTTTATATTAAAAGCCTACTCTAGCTTTAAGTGTAGTATAGTTTAAGTTTAAATTAAAAGCCTACTCTAGCTTTAAGTGTATTATTGTTTAAGTTTATATTAAATGCAATAAGCTGAATTTCAGTGATTATTGTTTGTTTAAATTAAAAGCCTACTCTAGCTTTAACTGCATTATTGTTTAAGTTTATATTAAAAGCCAACTCTAGCTTTAAGTGTATTATTGTTTAAGTTTATATTAAAAGCCTACTCTAGCTTCAAGTGTATTATTGTTTAAAATGTTCGTCCAATCATATTCCTCGGTCCGAGGGCTACGATAATGTGTCCTACCTGCCTGTCAGTGTAAGTATTTGCATACCTCCACACACCATCAAGCATTATTACTGTAATATTATGCGCTTTGTACTGTAATGTTTTCTCACCGGTAAATGAGACATGAGGTAATCTGACAGAGTTGCATTCAACTCTTCACCAACGCTGGTTAGCCTCTGCTCTGCCTGTGCGTGGTCATGTGTTTCGGAGGAGGCGTGGCTTTGGAGAGTGATTTGCATAGAGGGTGAGATCTTATGCTTTCAAAGCTAGCTTGCTATTGCTAGTCTCTCCGAAAACCTACTCTAGTTTTAAGTGTATTATTGTTTAAGTTTATATTAAAAGCCTACTCTAGCTTTAAGTGTATTATTGTTTAAGTTTATATTAAATGCAATAAGCTGAATTTCAGTGTTTTTTTGACTCACTTAAGTAGGACTTAAGTACACACTTAAGTACAGTTTAAAAAAAAGTGCAATTTGTAATGTTGTCAAATTAAATGTTTGGTAACACTTTATTTTAAGGTGTCATTGTTACACATGTTACATGTACTTACTATTATAATAACAATTAATTACGCATAATTACATGCAAGTAACCCTAAGCCAAACCCAAATCCTAACCCTAACCATGTAGTAAGTACATGTAGTTAATTAATATAACTTAGTACTTAAATGTATAATTACACTGTAACAAGGACACCTTAAAATAAAGTGTAACCAAACATTTTATTTTAAAGCACATTTTCAATCATTATGTTTTATTAATATTTTGTCATGCTTTTAAGAAGTACACATTTTGATGTAGGACTTAAGTACATAGTTCCATAATTACTTAAGGAATTACTATTAAGAGAACTGCTGAATGTACTGACAAGCATTTATGATAAACTAAAATCTACTTTAATGCCATTTCTATTGAAACTTCTATGTAATGTATTTAATTACAGTCTTATTTACACATTTATAATGTTAAAGTTGCAATTTAGCATATTTAAAATATATTAACATTATATGTAATATTGAATAACACACTACAGTTAAAATGAGAATGGGTTACTTTACATGTGCTTTAGTATGTTAGTCACCACATCAAAATAAGTGTACTTTAAAGCATAATGTACTTTAAAACACAACAAAATATTTAAAATGTACTTTAATTTTATTTTGACATTATTGCAAAGGTTACTTTTAAACGTGTACTTACAGTAAGTGTGTTATGAAAGCATCTCTCTCTAAGTGCACTTAAGTGACCTTTTATTTCATAAATACATTTTATGCAAGTACGACTAAAAACACATCTGTTCCATCTCTATTTGACCCTCTAACTCTAGCACTTTCTATTCTATTTTAATTCTACTTTATCTACTTATCTTCTTTTTTTATTTAAAAAAAGTAACCCTAGCTTTCTATTTTTTCTATTCTATCTACTTGTTTTTCTTTTTGTCTGTTTGTGTGTGTGTGAATGTGTGTGTGTATATATATATATATAATACCTTGCTACGTGTACTGTGTTAGGCTAACCGAGACTTGTCATTTTCACTTATATATTGTTAGTTTTTGTTTTGTTACCACTTTTGTTAGTTTTGATTGCTTCTATTATCCTCATTTGTAAGTCGCTTTGGATAAAAGTGTCTGCTAAATGATACAGTTTGTTAAACATATATAATTATTATTTGAAGTACACTACAAGTCGACATTCAGGACAACAAGAAAACTTATTTTTTCAAAAGGGATTAACTAATAATATCATAACCCACTTGAATATTATGAAGTTCACTATTCAATTGTAGTTATGTCACACAATGAATGTTACCGGTAAGTGAGTTGGACTGAGGAATCAGCTCTTACTGGTGTTGTTGCTGGTTGTGTTGGTGTTGTCGGCTGTTGCGTTGCGTGTGTTTTGTTGGTCTGATTCTGTCGACGCTCTTCTCACAGTAGCTCTGCTCGTCGAGTTAAAGTCTGTTCCACACATCAGCTGAGTGAGGCTCCCGAACGGATCCGACCTGAAATCCAACGTTTCTACTGCACTCAGCAGCACTGAAGACCTAAAGTTAGACATCTGTGTGGAGGAAAAAAAAGGAAACCTCCATGAACACATTCAGAAACTTGATCAAAAATACAGTAAAAAATGTAAAAATGTGAAATATTAATACAATCTAAAATAGCTGTTTTCTATGTGAATATCTGTTAAAATGTAATTTAATCCTGTGATCAAAGCTGCATTTTCAGCATCATTACTCCAGTCTTCAGTGTCACATGATCTTCAGAAATCATTATAATATGCTGATTTGCTGCTCAAGAAACATTTCTGATTATTATCATATATTTTTGGGGAAACTGTGATACATTTAATTTTGTTCAGGATTCACAGATGAATAGAAAGTTCAAAAGAACAGCATTTATTTGAAATATAAACCTTTTGTAACATTATAACCAGTTCTGGGGGTAACGCATTATATATAACGCAAGTTAACATATATAGTGGGAAGTCGTGGCCTAATGGTTAGAGAGTCGGACTCGTAACCCAAAGGTTGCAGGTTCGAGTCTCTTATAACCAGTTCTGGGGGTAACGCATTATATATAACGCAAGTTAATATATATAGTGGGAAGTCATGACCTAATGCTTAGAGAGTCGGACTCGTAACCTAAAGGTTGTGGGTTCGAGTCTCGTACCGGCAGGGATTGTAGGTGGGGGGAGTGAATGTACAGCGCTCTCTTCCACCTTCAATACCACGACTGAGGAGCCCTTGAGCAAGGCACTGAACCCCCAACTGCTCCCCGGGCGCCCCAGCAAAATATGGCTGCCCACTGCTCCGGGTGTGTGTTCACAGGGTGTGTGTGTTCACTGCTGTGTGTGTGTGCACTTTGGATGGGATAAATGCAGAGCACTAATTCCAAGTATGGGTCACCATACTTGGCCACATGTCACGTCACTTTTACTTTCGTTATGTCAGATTACTTTTTTTTTCAAGTAACTAGTAAAGTAACCCATTACTTTTTAAATTGCATCCTTTACTCATTTCACTTTTGGTGTGAAAGCGCTTTTACATTTGCCAAAAAATATAACTTTTTTTTTTTAATATTAAAAACAAACAAGCAAGCCCCGCCCAGATGAAAAAAAGTAACACAAAAGTAATGTTCGCATTACTTCCCATAGAAAGCAACAAAGTAAGGTAATTAGTTACTTTTTTAGGCAATAACGACATTTAATTGATAAAAAACAGTAAAAAATGTGAACAATTATTACAATCTAAAACAGCTGTTTTCTATGTGAATGTACTGTAAAATGAAATCTATTTCTGTGATATAAAGCTGAATTTTCAGCATCATTAGTCCAGTCTTCAGTGTCAAAGTACTTTTTAGGGAGTAACGTAACACTATAATGCATTACTTTTAAAAGTAACTTTCCCCAACATTGATTATACATATCTTTACTGTCATTTTTGATAAATTTAATGCTTTTTTGCTGAATAAAAGTATTAATTTCTTCCAAAATCTCCAAACTTTTGAACAGTAGCGTATTTAGTTCAGTTTATTATGTAGATTTTGCATTTGTGCTGCCCGCGACCCATTGCTTTTGTGTTTTTGTCCAGACAGGAAGATGAAATAAAACATCTCGTGAAAACACACCGCTTCTGCAGTCTCGTGAGATACGCTTAGGCAAACATTTGTCCATCCCATAACTGAATATCACCGTGTAATGTTATTAATTAATGCCACGCGTGTCGGTGTAATATAAGTGCATCTGTGCTTTGCATCTGTTGGCCCAGCGGCTAAAGCTGCTAATGCCAAACCTTGGAAAGGTGAAATGGTTTTTTTGTGCGTGATCAGGACAGCACCTTCATAATGGGAACGCAAAGCGCAAACTGTGTTTCAGTCTCACTTAACGAGCATAACAGACATAAAGCCTGTTCGTTCAGAACGGAGGAGACAGCTGTTGTGTTAACACCAAATGAGACGGTATATTACTTTCCAGCAGGTTTTATTTATATAGCCACTGGCATGCAAACAGCGTAATGGACTGCAGAGAAGCGCGGAGAATCGAGCACAACAGCGACGGCCCACTTTTTAAGTGCCCTTGGTTCCTGAAGTGTTTTCCCATTCATTTTCTCCACATTCAGATCTAAACCTTGAACCAAACCAACCAGCTCTCAGATGAATTGTACAACAGTATAACTATTAGCATAGAAGGCATTTATTTAAAGTTTACTGCATATGAAAACTAGTTTGAGTGTTCAGGAGTTTGATTATATCTTTCGCAAATGGACAGTTGCATTGATTTGGACCAAGAAGTATTTGAACATCAACATTTGACATCATTCACAATGTTCCCGAGCTCAGTGCAAACTAAACAATTTGGTGTAGAAACACTTTTCACTCAGAAATCGCTAGTAAATGTCAATTCAATGACCAAGAACACATTGATTTAAATATGAAATGTTGAAGAAAGACTGAAATAGTGTTTTGTTACAGTGTATGTGAGTAGAGCTCAATTGTTACTCGATGCATCAATCTGATTTGATATTCTAAAAGTTGTATCTGATTCATATAATGTATTTCTTTGCACGTGCAGCATTACTCATATCCCGAACAAAACTTCAGCGCATGCACAGAAAGCTGATATTCATGTTAGAAGAGTTTTTTTTAGCAAATATTTAGTAAATATTCCATCTCCTCCACTGAACAGTTCAAGACATGAGAGGTAAATAAATGCACACGCATTCATGTTGAACAATACACATCACGGTGCTTTTTGAAAATAGTCCGATTCAAGTGTTTACATGCTTGAAGAAATAGTTCATCCAAAAAGAATGAGTTCAGATTTGGAGAAATGGAGAAAACATCAAAATAATCCACAAGTAACCCACACCACTCCAGTCCATCAGTTAACATCTAGAAAAGCCAAAAGCTGAAACAAATCCATCATTAAGATGCATTTATCTTCAAACCGTTGCTTCCAGCTAAAATATGAGTCCATAATCCATAATTGGACTGTTTTGGCTTTGTACATATTTGTGCATATTTCTCTCCTGATTCAGTCCGAATGACTTTTTCACTGGAGGAAGGGTTATTCTTACAAACACACAGCTTTTGGCTTCACAATATGTTAACTGGTGGACTGGAGTGGTGTGGATTATTGTGATGTTTTTATCAGCTGTTTGGACTCTCGTTCTGACGGCACCCATTCACTGCAGAGCATCCATTGCTGAGACACTGATGCAATGCTACATTTCTCCAAATCTGATGAAGAAACAAACTCATCCACATCTCGGATGGCCTGAGGGTGAGTCCATATTCAGTAAATGTTCATTGTTAGGTGAACTATTCTTTTAATTGCTTCCTGTTGATCAGATTATTCCAGGTCTACACTGCCCCTTTAAATCTGATCAAACGTTGATTCGATTCGAGCTCGTTCAGATTGATTGGTGTGTTTACAGACCGACTGAGCCATTAATTCAATTATAAACAGATCTGGGTGCATGCACATGTAGCTATTGATGTCCTCATGGCATTCTGTGCACTTCGTGAGCAGACTGGGGTCATTCAGTGTGTTGCATCAGATGTTGTAGCGGTCTGTCGTTGCACATTGGTTGTTCTCTTGTGCAGCACTTTGAGATGCAAACAGATGAAGGAGCTCATCGGCCGATGATCTGAACCCACTGGAGGCTGTGCTACTGTATTACATCATTCGCAATGCTTTATGGGAAGTGCACAGTGTATAGAGCACATGTCCTGTATCCATGGTAACAGCGATTAGTGGATTTGTCTCCAGAATTATTTTCATTGGGAATATGACAATTAAACACTTTTTTATATTGACTTTTACAGCCTCTGAGCTCATGATAGGTCTGTCTTGAAATATTTAAACAAACGTAATTTCTCTATGGAGAAAACTATTGGGATTTTTACTTCCATAACCTGAATGTTGAGCTAAAAATATTTACATATATATATTTTTTTTCATATATAATTTATATTATATATAAATATAAATATTTTATATATAAACAATACATATTTTTCATAAATATATACATTCATATGTGTGTGTTTATATTTACACAATAAATATTCACAGCACACACACATATATTATGTAAACAAAAACTTTTATTTTGGATGCGATTAATCACGATTAATCATTTGACAGCACTAAAATAATACAACTTTTTAAACAGTTTTAACAGTATTGCATTTCATAGACAAAATTATGTAGAGGATTTTATTTTCTATTAATTATTTTAAAGTATTTATTTATATATTATTTATAATTTTTTATTTATTGTTATTTTTATGTATTATTTTTATTTATTATTATTATATATATTTTTTATTTTTTTGTGAATCCTGTTTTCAAACTTTGGAATATGTCTAAATGTTGTATTAAATACAATAAAAAAAAAAGTAAATGTAAAAAAAAAAATACATATATATTTAAAAAACAACAACAATATTTTAATAATAAAACAGTATAGGTAGAGTGGAAATAGAAGATGATTACAGTATTTACTTATATTCTGAGACGGTCTGGTTGGTAGGAAGAGTGTTTGTTTATCCATCATATCTAATAGGTGTATTTGTGCCTCTAATGTGAAAACTCAAGGGACACACTACTGCATCCTATTCCTGCAAAACGCTTCGTGCAACACTGAAAACACAGAGAGGCAGAGAACTCACCCCGGTCATGAGCGGAGCGATGTGAGCACTGGTTTGGCCCATCAGAGCGGTCACCTCCAGCCGGTTCAGACCCAGCGCTGATGGAAGCTGAATCAGGAGAAAATAAAAAAAAACTAATTTCAGTATTGCTGATTTCTTCTGAGCTTAATTGTGTATTACATGGACTCTGCCTCACCGAGCCGGAGATTAAGACTGTATTACTGAAGTGAAGCTAAGTACGGTTAAATCTATAAAGATCATTAGATTTCCAGAGTTCATTCTCAGAGCCCGGGATGTCACGCAGTTAAAACAACCTTAATAAAGTCCCATTCACTGGCCTCTTAGCCGCCGCTATCTCTGTGTCTATCACTGTGACCTTCACACACTCAATAGCATTACTTTAGAGGGAAAGCGAGGTTCAGACACGTGTGTGTGTGTGTGCGTGTCTCTCTGTGTGTGTGTATTGTGTGTGTGTGTAAGTATTTATCGGCGCAGGGGATTACGCAGCCAATGGCTTTTTCTTCCTTCAGTCTGGAGAACATTTATGCTTCAGCTTCAGCAGAACTACAGCGAACCCGAAGCGCTTCAGGATGAGAGCGGCTGATAAATGTCTTAAACAGGAATATGAGAACTAATGGTTGAACAAGTAGCAAAAGGCCGAGGGCAGCTGTAAGCATTTTATATTTTCCTTCATAACTCACAAACTACTGCAAATCTATCTGACATCTCTTGGTGTGAGAAGCATAAAACAATAGAGAGATCGTAATGATGAGTTTATTAAGCCTGTTATAAATTATATGAATTCATTTGAGCACAACTCGATTACTTCAGAATTTAATTTAAGTGTTTTATTAATATTACTGAATAGTTCACTTTTTGTTGTAAAAATTGTAGTTGCCAAAATACATGTTTACAGCAAAAAGTCTAAACGATATTTACATTATAATTATTTGAAATGATTTACAACATACTTTCTAAAATCGAAATTATCAGTTCTGAGTTATGTCTATAAAATAATAAAATAGGATGAATTTCAAATTATAATAGAAGTCCAGTTTAACGTAAATAAATTGACAAATATAATACTATTGTACAGAGGAATGTACTTAATACAATTAAAAAATGTAATGATATCTTAAATTTTCATTTAATTGCATTTATGACAAAATTTTAGATCACTTTAAATTGCATTAAATATTTTGTGAAAGGTTAATGTTTCATGCCTTTATTTGATTATTGCTAGTTTTGATAGTATTTTGTAAATTTGTATTAAATCATAAATTCAGAAAAATTAAAACGGACAACATAACAATTCTGACAATAAATAAATAAATGAATAAATCAATATTTTATTGGGCCCAATTATTGCAAAAATTTTTATAAATTAATTGTTTTATGAATTTTTACGTTTTATGAATTCAATTGATTACACATGCTTTTGATTATTAAAATGTAATTAAACCATTAAAATGGAACGGAAGAAAAGTTTAAACTAAAAACACAGAATTTGGGAAAAATAAAACAGATTTCAAAGGGCCCTAAACATGTGATTTTTTGTAAACTTTTAATAAATCGTCATTAGTTATACATAAAGTGTATACGTTTCATGATTACAAATTATTAGAAATGCTTTTTGACTAATATTTAATTTAATTTTTTAATATTAAATTAAATTAAATTTAATTTAATAATTAAAACCAAATCTAGAAAAAAGTCTAGAAACGTTCAAATGTGGGGGAAAAAGGAATCCAGAAAAAAAAAAAGGGGAAGAAAAATATTAATTTGGGGAAAATTTGGGAAAAAATCTAAAGGAATTCATATGGTCTCCACTGCAAATAACTACTGTATTCATCAGTATTTCAGCTTTCTAGTATTTGAAATATATATACATCTTGTGTGAACTGCATGAAATATGAAGGAGCTGCTGGTGGACAAGACCTTGTTTGATGAAGGACTTGAGTCTTCATCCTGTATGTGTCTCAGAGCCGCGCTCCATTCAGTCCCCTTTAGCTGCAGAGCTTCGTTTAATAGTTTTATTCTGCTCTCGGAGACGTGGACGAGACACAATATAACTATCGCACTGTAAAGTACACTTAAACATTATAAAAGGATGCTACATTTTTATTTGATTACATTTTAAAAGATTAATTAAATTGTTAATGTTTTACGCCTTTATTTGATAACCACCATTTTTGATAATACATTTGCATTAAATATTATTTGTAACATTTCTGTTGTTTTGTTTCAACAAATATTTCGTTTTCATAAATTCTGCCTTTTTTTTGAGCAATCATTAGTAATAAAATCAAAAGACTTTAATTCAATGCCATTAATTCTAATGAGATTAATGCTGGTAATTCTCAGATTGTGTATTCTTATAAATGTCATACATTGATATATAAAAAAAACAGCAATGGAATTTTATTTGGGCCGTTTTAATAACTTTCGTGTTGATACTTCTTGACTTTTCCTACTTGTATGAGAACTTAATTTTTTCCATCAAAGACATTTAAAGAAGTTTATCAATTTTTCAACAATTTTTTTTTTTATTATTTTTTATTTATTTATTTATTTTATTTTATATTTTGTTTTATTTTATTTTATTTTATTTTATTTATTTATATATTAACACTACATTGTGCTTATATTTATCAATTAATTTATTATATTAATTCATATTTTATTTATTTATTTATATTTTGTGACACTTTAGTTGATGTTTAATTTATGTTTAAAATAATAAGAAAAAATGCCAATGAGCTAACAGATCTGCGAGCATGACAAAGGGATGATGACAATACATTTTTCAAATTATTTTAATATGTTCCTACAGGTTATGACGTCAATTAATTGTTCATTTGTATTTTATTTTATTTTATTTTATTTTATTTTATTTGATTGATTGATTGATTGATTAGTTTATGTATTTTTTTGTAAATGTAATCATAAAACATGAAAAAATCATAGAAATAAAGGGGCGTCGCTCACTGCGTTCAGGAGTTTGATGTTGTCCAGATTCTGCATGAAGACTCGTCTGGCCTGAAGAAGCTGATTGGCTGTCAGGGAGCATGTGATGTTCTGAAACTCCTCTTTCTGATTGGCTGAATTAAAGTCCAGGATGCGATCGGCCGACGGGCCGCAGAGCACCGAGTGCAGATCTCCATCAGCCGACAGCGCAGGCAGCTGCAGCACATTAAACAACACCACAGACACACACATTACAATTTATATAGCATTTTAAGAGATCAATTATATGGCCAGCTGCTATCAAAGATCGAAGTCAGTCTAGAGAAGGCAACCTTTTAATTTCTTCGGTTTTACAAATGCAAAAACTGATATATTTTGCAGCTGAAATGCTGAACAGCTGATGATTCATGTTGAATCTGGTAACAAATGGTCGTGGCTTCTGAGTCTTGCGTTTGAAGTTCAGATGAATCTGAATCTGGCTTCATTGCGGAGGTAAAACAGGGGTTTTGGTGGAGTCAGCGAGCGCCGGGCCTCTCAGAGAAGCTGGATCTCCTCCAGTCCGCACTAAACACACAGCCTCTCTCCGTCTGTCTCTGGATGACGTACCTGACCGAGCCGGACTCTGGCCCTCATCAGGCTCGCGGCGGCTGTGTTTGGCACCGAAAGGCTGTTCGTCAGATATTCAGAAAACGTCTCGTTGGTTCTCAGCAAACTGCGAAGCGGAATCGACTGACCTGAGAGCGAAAGAGAACATATTGCTCTTAGCTCATGAAGGCTTTCAGATGGGCAGCAAATATACCATTTTCCAAATCCTATAAGTGTGTGTGTGTGTGCGCGTGTGTGTGTGTGTGTGTGTGTGTGTGTGTGAGAGAGTGTGTGTGTGTGTGTGTGTACACCAGCAGAAAATACAAGAATAAATATAATACATAAATACATAAAATAAAAATGCTTAAATTAATAACTAAATTATAAAAATAAAAAGATCAAATATAAATAAATAAATAAATAAATAAATAAATAAGCTATATATTGCTTTTTAGCTATGTTTTAAACATTTTTGTCTAAACAGCAGAAATTAATAAAAAATATATTAAAAAGTGCATTAATAAAACAAGGCTGCATTAATTTGAGCAAAAACACAGTAATATTGTGAAATATTATTAAAACTTTAAAGTAACTGTTTTCTATATGAATATCTGTTAAATTGTAATGTATTTCTGTGATGCGCAGCTGTATTTTCAGCATCATTACTCCAGTCTTCAGTGTCACATGATCTTCAGAAATCATTCTAATATGCTGATTTGCTGCTCAAGAAACATTTCTGATTATTATCAATGATGAAAACAGTTGTGCTGCTGAATATTTTTATAGAAACTGTGATACATTTTCTTTTTCAGGATTTACAGATGAATAGAAAGATCAAAAGAACAGCATTTATTTGAAATAGAAATCTTTTGTAACATTATAAATGTCTTTACTGTCACTTTTGATCAGTTTAATGCATCCTTGGTGAATTAAATTATTAATTTATTTTCAAAACAAATTGTACATGTTCCTGATTGTTGAACGTGGTGTGGATCTGTACTGCGGCGGGTGGCTCTGGGTAAATTGAGTTTGTGATTGAAGGAGTGGATGTGGCTTATTAAACATGTGTTAGCCCGTTAAAGGCTCATTTAGCTATAATGCAACACACTGTTTTGTCCTCGTTCAAGAATTCCTCCCACACACTCACACAAAAACCATGAAAGCCAATTAGGCGTATGAAAGCGTGTGTTTGCACACCGAGGCCGGATGGAGGTCTGACTGCGCTCTGAAGAAAGCTGCTGTAAAGCACATCAAAGAGCGCCGGTGAAAACAAAGAAAGCCGAGCTGGATAATACCTCTAGAGGCGCGCTAATGAGCGGCAGGATATCAGACAGCAGCGCTGATTAACGAGAGTGCGTCATTACACTCTGTATCTCTGCATTCATCTCAACAATCCTCTCCAACACAAACCTGGCAGGTCACACACACACACGCACACACACACACGCACACACACACACGCACACACACACACGCACACACACACACGCACACACACACACGCACACACACACACGCACACACACACACGCACACACACACACGCACACACACACACGCACACACACACACGCACACACACACACGCACACACACACACGCACACACACACACGCACACACACACACGCACACACACACACGCACACACACACACGCACACACACACACGCACACACACACACGCACACACACACACGCACACACACACACGCACACACACACACGCACACACACACACGCACACACACACACGCACACACACACACGCACACACACACACGCACACACACACACGCACACACACACACGCACACACACACACGCACACACACACACGCACACACACACACGCACACACACACACGCACACACACACACGCACACACACACACGCACACACACACACGCACACACACACACGCACACACACACACGCACACACACACACGCACACACACACACGCACACACACACACGCACACACACACACGCACACACACACACGCACACACACACACGCACACACACACACGCACACACACACACGCACACACACACACGCACACACACACACGCACACACACACACGCACACACACACACGCACACACACACACGCACACACACACACGCACACACACACACGCACACACACACACGCACACACACACACGCACACACACACACGCACACACACACACGCACACACACACACGCACACACACACACGCACACACACACACGCACACACACACACGCACACACACACACGCACACACACACACGCACACACACACACGCACACACACACACGCACACACACACACGCACACACACACACGCACACACACACACGCACACACACACACGCACACACACACACGCACACACACACACGCACACACACACACGCACACACACACACGCACACACACACACGCACACACACACACGCACACACACACACGCACACACACACACGCACACACACACACGCACACACACACACGCACACACACACACGCACACACACACACGCACACACACACACGCACACACACACACGCACACACACACACGCACACACACACACGCACACACACACACGCACACACACACACGCACACACACACACGCACACACACACACGCACACACACACACGCACACACACACACGCACACACACACACGCACACACACACACGCACACACACACACGCACACACACACACGCACACACACACACGCACACACACACACGCACACACACACACGCACACACACACACGCACACACACACACGCACACACACACACGCACACACACACACGCACACACACACACGCACACACACACACGCACACACACACACGCACACACACACACGCACACACACACACGCACACACACACACGCACACACACACACGCACACACACACACACAAACACAAACACACACATACACAGAGTGGAGTCATCAACTCGCACCTTCATCATCCACGCGTCACCCTGCACTCTGATTGGCCGCTTCTGTCTCTGGCGGCGTTGTGAGTTAATTACTCTCTCTCTCAGATCTCCTGGTGAATTTAATCTGGTATAATAGAAGTTCACGGCCCCCGAATGCAAATGCGGCCGGCGGCGGTGACCAGGGCCCGACAACACGACGCTCCACGGCCTATTTGCAAATGAGCTTCCTCTCAAATCTGAATATTGTTAGACTAAACGGTACAAACAAACAACAGCAAGATATATGACATGCTCCTCCGAATCAACAACAAGAGCGGCTGTAAAACACGAATATAACCACAGTGGAGGACGGGGCGTTATTTCAGCCTGACATGTCAAAAAATAGTCAGAAAAATCTGTTTACCGAAACATTAGACAGAATATATATATATATTTTGTAAAGTTTGCATGTGAGTTTTTGTTAAGCATCACATTTGATACATCAGGCTTTTGTTGCTCATATATTATTATATAGTGAGAATATCCAGAGACTCAAATTAAGCAGAAATATACGATTCAGTGAAAATGCTGTTATTTATAAAGTAAGACTTAGTATTTTTTTTTTTTTTTTTTCTTCCTTCTAAAACATGATGTCTAAACGGCGAAACAAAATAAAAAAATAATAAATAAAAATACATAAATAAAAAAAATAAAAATAAAATAAATAAAATAAAAAAAAGTAAATAAAAAAATAATAAAAACTGATGTTTGGCTATTACACATATTGCTGTTTATTTTTGTAGTCTAAACAGCAAAAAAAAATAAATCAACACAATAAAAATGAATAAATAATAATATATAAATAAAATAAAACTGCATAGATATGATGCATAATAATACAATAATACAATAATAAATACAATTTGTAATAAAATACAAATAAATAAAACAAAAACAAAATTAAAGATAAGATAAAAAAAAAAAAAATCATTTAAAATAAAATTAAACAATTACTAAGATGTTTAAGGGGGGGTCACGCCCATGGACTGTCCGTGTATAAAAATACATAAATAAAAAAAATAAAAATAAAATAAATAAAATAAAAAAAAGTAAATAAAAAAATAATAAAAACTGATGTTTGGCTATTACACATATTGCTGTTTATTTTTGTAGTCTAAACAGCAAAAAAAAATAAATCAACACAATAAAAATGAATAAATAATAATATATAAATAAAATAAAACTGCATAGATATGATGCATAATAATACAATAATACAATAATAAATACAATTTGTAATAAAATACAAATAAATAAAACAAAAACAAAATTAAAGATAAGATAAAAAAAAAAAAAATCATTTAAAATAAAATTAAACAATTACTAAGATGTTTAAGGGGGTGTCACGCCCATGGACTGTCAGTGTGTTTGTTTTCCTCCCCATGTGCTCCCCGTGACCCAGTTTCTCTCGTGTTCTGATTATGTTCATTTGTTTCAGGTGTTCCTCGTTGAGTCTCTCGTCTAGTTATGTATATAAAGTGTCTGTTCCTGGTTTCGGTGTCCGGTGTCTATCGTCCAACGTTGTGCTACTCGTTTGTTCCTGCTTGCCCTGTGTATACCCCGTTTGGATTATTAAAAAACTGTTGATTGAGATTCTCCTGTGTTCTCCTCGTTCCTCGCTCCTCTCCGTAGGCAACTGTGACAGGTGGAAGGAGACTCTTCTGATCATTTAATTGTGATGTATTGTAATGTAAATCAATGAGATCTTTATAACAGTATATATATATACATATAATGCAATGCAATTCAATGATAGATGAGAGATGAACAAACAAACGTTCCTCAAAAGCCTGATGATCATATTTGAGACTCACATTTTATGTCTGGATAATCAAGTAAAACTAAATTGCTTTGAAGAGAAATTTCTCAAAATTATATTTAGAAAACAAAATAATAACTGAACTTCTATAATTAAATAATGCATGTTGTCCAATCTAAATCATTACAGCATTGCTATTTAATTAGATTAAATGTATAAATGCATATCATATTTGCATTTAAACTTTTTAAATAAAGTTTATTAAATACAATGCATTTTTTATATTTTAACAAAATGGCATCATTTTAATTTGAAATGTATTTCTGATGCACATGAATTTTATAGATCTGAACTCTTCCTGCAAGTCAACAGCTGACTCATTTGCCTTGGTTTTTATTTATATTTTAAAGACATTATGAAAGTTGATGATGATGATCTAATAATGACTCTCAAAAGCCCACGTTTGATTACTCACAGCGCATGAGTGTCACACTACTGGGGAAATGCTGTCAATTGCTTCATGTGTTGATGAGTTTGATGAACACAACAGCCGAACTGGGATCTCTGAAGCGTTTATAACAGCAGTCATACCTAAACGGGAAGCTGTGCTTGGAGGGGAAAAAAAGCAGCTTAAACCAGCCTAAGCTGGTCTGCGATGATTTGAACTGGTCTAGTTGGTCCTCCAAACTGAACAGTAACCAGCAAAACCAGATCAGCAGGCGAATACACTGAAATGTTCAGTAAAACATAGGCACGTTTTGAAAAGGAAAGCCAGACGTTCACCTGCGGCTGGGTTTGCATTCTCCAGGACAGACATCCATCGGCCGATATCCTCAGAGATCAGTTTGACGCTGCTGAAGAGAGCGGGATCCGCCAGGAGCGACTGCACTTCAACCAAAACCTTTGTGACTCTAAACCAACGCAAGAAAGAAACAAATAAATACACAGAAACAGAGAATTTAGAGATGAATGCTTCAACAGCGTCAAGTTAAAATGTGCCACTATACATAATAATTACTGTATGTGAGCCTGGAGCACAAAAGCAGTCTTAAGTCGCTGGGGTATATTTGTAGCAATAGCCAACAATACATTGTATGGGTCAAAATTATTGATTTTTCATTTATGCCCAAAATAATTAGGATATTAAGTAAAGATCATGTTCCATGAAGATATTTTGTAAATTTCCTACTGTAAATATATTAAAACTTAATTTTTGATTAGTACACTGAAAAAAAA